GGATAAGGAGAGAGGGGATAAGAGGTAGCTACTTAGAGCGTCAAAGGTGAATTGAAATGGCGCAACAAAAACATGCCGGCTAAAAAAGCGCAAGGAATGAATTTTTGTCATTCAAAAGTAAATAGATACTTAACTTAAGGTATGCTTTCGCTTATTATTTCCTAACAAATTACATCTGTTATATAAGTGAACACCAAAGTTTTGTTATGTATATCAGAATATCCTTCTTTTCTCGTAAGAATCGCACTTTATCGCTTCGGTTAAATGATTTTACTCAATCACTGCCACCATATTCTTACTACTAAAGCCATTGTGTTCTACACTCTGCCTCAAGCTTCTGATAGCACGTATCCTCCAATCTCACGGATAAAGCCAATAAAGTATGGATTCTCAATTTGCATAGAAAACTAATTTGACGGTGCAGATTTCATTATCACTTTTTGGAATGTGCACCGGGTAAATATTGTGGAAAAGCAACTACTTAATATACCACGTTTCTGATAAATTTGCATCTACTAATAGATAACTATCTATGGTCTTTGCCGATACGGTTGTGCTTCTATATATAATGCCAAGTCTATGACTTCCTATGTTCTAGTATCTTGTGTGCTTACTCTGAAATATTGTGGTTCTACTTTATTTGAATAGGCTCACTGTAGAAGTCTTCTCTTGATATCGAATTGTTCCTTTTGCAATGTATATTTTTATCGAAGGTATTATCGAAGGCTTTAACCGTTAATTAGTCACCTAGACACAGAGGAGGGTGAATAACGCCTCGAGTAGCACAGATGGAGAGACAGGTGTCAAGTTAAATACGTGTACCAGGGAGATAGCTACGGGGCAAGAGGGAGACTGCTAGGACGCATGAAAGGACTACGTAACAATATGACCCTTGATTCGTAAGCTGATTTTTCTTCCTGTTTTACCAATAAACCTATGTTCACAGTTGAAACAATTGATGTGATATGTTCCCGAGCAATCCATTTTGTTAACTTCCTCGCGCTGTGCCAGCAGGCCTGTAAATATTTCTGTATTTTCTTTAATTATAACCAGCAAATTATAGTTAATTAGTAACGGTCGCAATTTTTGACTCCGTTTATAGGAAGGCATGCACATCTTCCCGATTCCTATCTAATTTTTATCTTTATGAACACTATATTTCCTACTATGATTTCTATCTGATACCCGTTATTAAGGAAAATCTGAGTTAATTTGTAAATATTATCGTCCCTGAAATTAGTCTCCGTTAGTAATAAGCTTCTGCTGATCAAATTCTTCATTATTCCAATCCTCAGTATGGATTCGTGATGAGTCTGTAAATTAAGGATTATTCCTGCCTACGCCACCTAATCTCGTAAGTTTCCTCTCATTTCTGGATTGAGGGAGGATAGAGTGTGCCCGAATAATACATTCCCATTAGGTTGTAGAACCCTGGGGTAATACAAAATTGCTTTCGAATATGTCAAAAGGTCAAATTATATGATTTATTTACAGTTGTCTTCTTCGTTCGACTTGTATTGGTGCATAATTTAATAAAAGGTTTGGAGACCAAGATGATATGGTCCCTAGCATGGTCGTGGTCTTCTTTAGTTGCATAGAAGTTGTTTGTCTTCCTTTTTGTAATGTAGGAGTAGTTGCAGAGCGTTCCTCGAGGTTGCCCTACAATACGACCGAATTGCAAAGACAAAGTAAAACAACTTCAAAAAATAAGTGTAATCTAATAAAGCATTCTGAAGAGATGTTTTGAACAAATTTGCCTGAGTCAGAGTTAGACCAACACTGGGAATATAATTAGGTCCAATTTATTAAAGTATAGTGATTAACAGGGATGACAATTAATTTAAAATATAGACGTAATTTGACCTTGTTTTCGCTACTTGGTCATATTGGTAGGAAGATTTAGAGGAACGCACCTAGTCCAGAATCCATTGGATGTATGATAATTTACAGAGTCGTACCATGGACGTGGTACATTCTCAGACGTTTCGCCGGCATCGTCAATGAGTCTTGTCATTCATAGCATCACACTAAGCTCGTTTAAGCGACAAGTGAAGCCGATCCTTTGACTAATTGTCTGCTAAACAATCGTGGGATCTCTCCTTCCCTCCCGGGCTAATCACCAATCCTATATCCTCGTATCACGCATTTACTTTAACAAATTTTTACTTGCTCATTTAAATGTGGCATGGTGCGCCCTCTTGAGCGGC